ACTTGAACAGAGTTTCGAGGTTCCAAGTGAACGGACAATATTTTGTGGTTGGTTTGGTCTTACAGTGACTTCTACATGTACATGTATGACTTCATTTCCTTCATATTTAAGCTCATAATACTCCAGTTACGAACTCGTTGTTGTACAGGTAGTTAAGAGTTAGTCCCGATTTATGAGCATTCATGCTTTCCAGTCAAGGTTCGTGGAATTTCAAAGTGTTTGTATTCCTCTTAGTTACCACGATATGTTATTATGCACCACGAGGCAAAGGCAATGATTTTTTAAATTACCACTGTGTTCATTGATTACAGAATCCTTATTTCAGTGTTAAAATATTCACAAATACCAACATTAAAGTAAAGAATGCACAACTTCAACTATATAATAAGTTTGTTCACATTAATTTAGCAATGAATCTAAAACCCCGGGATACCCTACATGGTTTGTCCAAAGTGGGATTCCTGTGTAAAGTCAGTCTATTATGGCGTGTGTCAACCATGGATTGATATATATTCATTCTAGGTTTGTATTGTCAAGTAAATCAAAATATTATATAATTCCTTTATTTAAAGCATGGGACATCATCAGAGCAAAGAATACCTGTCATCTTGTCCCTTGGGGGGAGGGACATTCGTCAGGCATATCATAATCAATACCCAAGGGTTTTAGTAGCTTTTTGCTTCCCCAAGAATTCAAATGGGGATCCTGGGAGTCTATATTTAAGAAAGCCGTTGATATATACATAAGTAACTGAGAATTTGAAACCAGAGTTACTAAATAATGATATAATAGTGGTCAAAAACTAGTGAATTTGAGAGAAGGGGAGGTTTAWAACTGTATCTTATTATTTACTCTTGGAGCCTGTTGTTTTCTGTACTTATACATGYATTTGCTGCAGAAAATAGATATTTCATTCAACTTATAGAATTTCAAAGGTGGTTTTGCTGTAATTTTGCATCTTCATTTTGAGTAAAAAGAATAAATGTAAAAAAGGATTATTGAATTCAGAAGCTACATAAAATTGTATAAAGAAGTTGGCTATTTCATCAGCCTAAATACAGTCAAGCTCAGTCATAATAACTTTTTATATTATGCTCATCTATGTTTATGGAGTCAAAACTTTTGAGACAAAGTTAAATGCAGTAAAACTATGATTGTCTTTTTGTAATGAATGTGCTGGTTGGTCGATAGCAATATTAGCTACTTAAAATAGCTACTACTGTATTTGTCAGCATCAACTTTGTTGTTATTTTATGGTTTTACTGCATGTGCTATAGCGTGAGACTTATTTTGGCATTGTAATTCAGTTTCTACTGCAAGAATGATTATTAAAGATTATTATTATAGCTGTAATGTTGTAATATAATTATATATTTCTCTTGAAGATCAGTCAACCATGGCAGAGGGAGAAGCAGTAGATCCAGATTGGTATGGATATGAGTGTAAGTCAGGACAGATTTTGTTTTACTACAACAAAACAACAGGAGAACATGCACAGATGGGCAGGTGGTGATCATGTAAGTCAACTACTTGGCAATATTAGTCCTCTATTAATATTCAATTAATAGCCCCTACAATATCATCCTCACAAATTGCATTTCTCTCGGTCAGCGCAGAGGAATGAGGGAGGCYGAAGGCCAAATGGGCTATTGGGTTGAGACCGAAATAGCACATGGGAAATGACCTGATTATATTATAATTTATTCATTTGCGCCGTCCATGYTGTYGGTTTAGAATGCCAAACGTGTATTAAAAACAGTGGATGATGCCACGGGTCGCCAGTCACAGCATGCATTTAATTAACATACTTCCCATGTGCCCTTTTGGTCTCATCTTCTATGTTCYATGTTTCTGAACCYGACAACAATTCTTCARTTGAGTATATAAGCAAAAATCTATATCATGCTAAAATAAAATAAAAATGTTTATACRAACATTGCCATTGTGATACCAACCATAATTGCATTGTAATTATAGGTTCTGCCACTAAATTGCTTTCTCTTTTGATATATTTCTGGTTGGGAATTTAATATAAAAAAGAATCATCAAAAATAAATTTCATCATTGTATGCCAGGGCTTAAAATAATGGTCGGTAAGTCGCTGGTCCCAAAGTAGGTTTAACTCGGTTATACCTTGTTTGTCATACCTTGTTTGTCATACCTTGTTTGTCATACCTTGTTTGTCA